CTTTTTTTTTTGAGATGGGCTCACTATGTAGCTCAGGTTGGCCCTGAACTTGTGGTGATTCTCCTGTCTCAGCTTCTCAAGTGCTGGGATGACAGGTGTGAGCCACTACCCAAGACAAGCTAGGCTTGAACTAGGCAATCCTCCTGTGTCAGCCCTGAATATTGGGTTTACAAGTGTGTACCATCTTGCCTGGATCTCATTCTCTGTTTTATACTGGTAAGGAAATTTGCAGTGATGAGGTTTCCATTTTTAAATTTTCTTTTTTTCCATTAAATTTTTTTTTTGTATTGGTTTTGTATTGGTTATTGTATTTTTTGTATTGTTTTTGTATTGGTTTTCTGTAAGTAGTGCTTAGTCTAATGATGTTAGTGTATGTTACACTCATTTAAACAGCTATAGTGTCATGGAATATAGAATGCTTCACCATCTCATTCAATAACAAAATAATCCATACCATACTATGCTTTAAAAGGATGTCATGTAAAGAATACTTTTCTTTCTTGTGTGCTATGCATACACAATAAAAAAATTATGGCACAACAATGTATGCGGCACTGTGGAGTTTGCTACCATGCAGCCGACCAAGTGTGGTGCAATGAAGAGCTCCACACAGCCTCTGCAAACCACTCAACTCTGCTACTGCAGGAAAGCAGCCAAGAGGAAAAAACCCCCAAAACCTACCCCCAAACCAAAACCAAAGCAAACACATAAATGAGTATTGCTATGTCCCAACAAAATATTGTTGACAGGCACAGAAACCATTTTCACTTGTTTAAAGTTTTTCTGATTTTTAAGATTAAAAACATTCTTAGATCTAGTATCTTAAAATGACAAAGCAAAATAAAAAGCTGAAAACCACCTTGACCCACTATTCTTTCCCCCCCTCCTTCATTCTTTTCACATAGCCTGACTTCTCTTGGCTCTTATCCTGTCTTGTCTATTCTATGAAGTTCCTGGAGCTTGGTGAACTCCAACTGCCTATCTAAGATCGATAGATCAATCTTTCTTTCTTTCTTATGTTAGGAAAGGGTCTACAGGGTGTTCAGAGTGATCCACCTGTTTACAGCCTCCCAAGAGCTGGGATTACAGGCATGAACCACCACGCCCAGTCTCCCCCAGGACAGGGCCAGCATGGCAGACTCAGCGACCAAGCCCCCCCAGCTATTTGGCCAGCCCTGAAATCTTCTCATCAGTTCCAGATCTCAGGTTGCATAGTTCATCATCATTCTTCTTTTAAGTTTCTCTCTCCATCTTTGCTGCTGCTGCTGCTTCTTTTTTGTTTTGTTGTTTTTGTGGTACCAGGGATCAAACGCAGGACCTTGCACTTACCAGGCAGGTGCTTAAGCTGCTGAGCTATCTCCCCAGCCCCTTCATCTTTGCTTCTTAATAACAATAATATTGTTCTACTTCTGTTCTTGGTGATTTCCATCTTATGCTCTCTTCTGTTCCTCTACCACAGTTATATAACCCACTATTTCAACTGTTACTTCTATATGAATGAATCATACATCATTTCTTACTCCTTTCCTAAGATTCTGTCTTGCTATTTACTTCTGTGGCACTGAGGATTAAATCCAGGGGTTCCCTGTTTTGCTACATCCTGTCTCTCTTATTTATTTATTTATCTTCCCATAATTTTATTGATAAACAAATAGCAATGAGAGTTTCAAATCAAATTGGTAGGACAGTTTCAATAATTAACACATTGTATACATTCTTCCTATTGGTTAATTGCTATACAAGAGATGCAGACATGATATCCTATTTACAAACACCATTAGAACAAATCCCTCTATTCATTAAGAGAATGTAACTATATATCTATCCTAACCACTTTGAATACACAGATACAAAATGGACATTCATCTGTATACCCTTTTTTTGGTTAAATTCCGTTATTTGAATATTATAGGTGTGTAAACTCAGCAAAATATTCTAAAAGAGTCCAGTAGCCTGTAATAGTATTGGGTCTTCCGCTTGACTACATCCTGTCTCTTTAAAAAAAAAAAACAAAAAACAACTTATTTTGAGACAGGTTTGGAGTTGCCCAGGTAGGACTTGAACATGACATCCTCCTGCCTCAGCCTCCCTAAGTGCTGGGATCAGAGAGTATGCGCCACCACACCTGGCTCTGTTCTGTCTTTTAAATTCTTCCCTAGGGCTGGGGAGATAGCTCAGTAGCATAAGCACCTGCCTGGCAAGTGCAAGGTCCCAAGTTTGATCCCCCACACAGAAAAAAAAAAAAAAAAAAAAGGTCTTTCCTAAAGCTCCATTTGAATGTCCCACAGGCATGTTAAACTCAGTATGACACAAATTACTTCCCTCTGCATCCCCTGCTACTGTCAACTTGGCTATGGCCACACCGGTCACCTTTCTGTTCACATGACATGCTAGGCACATTACCACTTGCATACCTTTGTAATTCTGCTATTCCCTGTGCCTCCAAATGCTCTTTTTTCTCAAATAGTTGCAGGGCTTATTCCCTCACCTCCTTTAAGGAGACTGTTCCCAACTATATGTAGCACTGCAATCTCTCTCCTTCCTCTAAGCATTCACCAACATTCTTCCCTGCTTTGTTTTTATCTTCTTATAGCACAAATTACCTTCTGACTTACTACATAGGCTACTTCTCTTTAAAACTGTCTCCACCATTAGATTGTCACAAAGGCAGGCAGTATGTTAAAAATCTGTTTTATTCACTTCTATATCCCTAATTCTTACATTATTATATCTAGCATGTATTAGACACAGAGCAAACACTGGTTCAATTAACAAATAAAACACCTTTTTATTATCCCAAATTTAAAGGTTCAGGGCATTTTAATTCTTTTCTTCCTTATAGGACAAGTGCTGAACACATTTCCTTCTTTCCCCATATTATGTTCAAGCTGTTGTTCCACCTGCCTGACAGCTGGTTTCTTCCATTTTTCCATGGGCCTGGACACTCAAATTTATGGCCTCATGCGTGCTAAGCAATCAGGTGTAGTACACTGAGCTGCATCCTCAGCCTCCACCCCCCTTTGCTGATGAAATGTTCTTATTTTCTAAAAATCTAATACAGATGCTATTTCTTCCTGGATACCATAGCCAAAATGTGAGTTTTACATTTCTACCTTTCTGTAGCAGTTGACAACGGTATGGGGTTTTTGATTTCATCTTATTAAATACTTTGGACAAGTGAATAAATCTCAGTTTTCTTGTAAAGTGAGGCTAATTCTTATCTTTCTGGGTTGTTGAAACAATTAAAATACACAAAATACCCAGCACATTATACTGTAAGAAAAAAAGCTTAAGAAACCTTATATCTTTTAACAAATAATCCTTACTGGTCTTTCTGCATTTTTCTTTTTTTTTTTTTTAAATACTGAGAATTGAACTCATGACCTTGCACTTGCCAGGGAGGGGCTGTGCAGCTGAGTCTCATTTTAGTTACCCATATACTGTATGTGCTTTAATTACTTTCTCCCAGTATGTTTTAGAAAAATAGGTATTACTCCTCTATATATGTTTTTAATCCTCCACAGTACTGAATTCAGTGCACGGTAAGATAATAGTAGAGTAATGTATATAGTTAAACTGAACAAACACATAAATCAGCAGGCTTGTCTTTGTTACATTTTTTCTCTTAGTCCTAAGTACTCAACAAAATACAACTAGACAAAGACAGTAAGTAAAAATGAGTATAAAAGGTGCTAATTTAACAAATCTATTTTGAAATTTCAAGTTGTTACATGGCTTCTGAACTAGTTTTCTTACCTGTTATTTCATCACTGTAAGTAGATAGCAGTTTCCAGATGAGATAAGGACCCCCAAGGATAACAGCGAAGAACAAGAATATTGGCCAGGATTTT